AAGATGTTACTTTGAGGACTAAGGTGCGCCTGACCCGTCATGATATTTTCAATTGCCTCATATGCATGCAAAAGCTGGACAAGGAATAAGGAAGACCAGAGAAGAATTGATGCCTTTGAATTATAGTGTTGGAGAATATTGAATATACCATGTACTGTCAGAAGAACGAACAAGTGTGTCTTGGAAGAAATACAGCCAGTGTGCTCCTTGGAAGTGATGATGGCGAGACTTAGTCTCGTGTACTTTGGACATGTTATCAGGAGTGACCAGTCCCTAGAGAAGGATATCATGCTTGGTAGAGGGTCAGAGAAAAAGAGGAGGATCCTCAACAAGATGGATTGACACCATGGCTTCAACAATGTGCTCAAGCATAGCAACGATTGTGAGGGTGGTGCAGGACTGGGCAGTGTTTCATTCTGTTGTACATAGGGTCACTATGAGTCGGAACCAACTTGACAGCACCTAACAACAACAACAAGTCCCTCTGTGGAGAGGAAAGGATCCTCAAGGTATCAACAGCTCTGAAGGGTGGTGGATGAGATGGAATTGTTGAGGAGAGGTCAGTTGACTATGATTGAGAAAGGTGTTTGCATCCAGGGAAACAGAATATTTGGGCAGAGATGATTTTAAATGTCTACTTGGGTGGAGTTTCTTATGAGAAGAACTTTAGGTGGAGTTAGGACCTAGGAGGTTAGCAACTGGGCAGTTCTGCCAATGCAAAGATAGTTTTGCAGGTGACAGGACTTGTAATCCACACTTAATGGTCATGTCCACTTCTTACAGGAGTTGTTTATATATAATCTTTCTATATGTCCTCTAAAACAGTCCTTAAAGGGAATCATTTTCTGGGCATGTAATTTCAGGTATAATCATAAAAATGTAAAGATCCTTGTTTTTATTGTCCCTTGCCATGGAATTATAATTTCTCTTCTGGGTGGACAATTTTGCATCTGAATAGTTCTTTAACATATTAGAGCCTCACATATCAGTGCCTTGTAAAACATCATTAAATTGATAAAATAAAAATAATTGATATTTTCCCCCCATACTCAAGCACTGTTTTTCTCCTTCTCTTGCCTGAAAGGAGTGGTTCTTTCTCTAACTGGTTACTCCTTTCTTGTCCTCTTGGCTCCCAAGCAGGCCTGGCTTTTCCCCAGCCATGTCCAAGGACAATAGGGGAGCAGTTCTGGAAAAAAAATATTTGAGCCAATGAAGTGTTAGCTAAGTTCTCCAGACAATTTGGGATCCTATGTGTTATACATGGACACATGATTGCATTAGTGATAAAAATGACATATGTTTTCCTTCTAAGTCCTGGAAAATGGAAGTCATTAGTCATAAGTGGCTAAATGAAACTGCGTTACAGAAAGCATTCTAGGCTTGCAAATATCCAGGTATCCAGAGCAGTGCTGTAAAAAGCAGACTTCATTTTCTTTCCTGATTCCCCATTTAGGGAAAGAAGGTAAGCTCATACTGTCCTAAGTCTAGTACCTATTGGAACAGACTGGGTGGAGGGAAAAGCTGAGATGTGGCATTAGACCTGCTAACTAGGGTGGACCAGGGACTGAGAAGGTGGCTTGGCTGACAGCAGTGGTGGTGGTATCCAAGGAATTCTGTGAACTCCAGTTGTGGTTCAGGTGAAAGACTGGCAAATGTGGGGGTTCCAGAGGGTGAATAGAGCCCAGCAGTAGGAATCTTAGGCAGGTAGTAAGAAGTCTAGGCAGATAGTTGCCATTTAAAAGGTCGGTGTCTGATTAGTGAGTGGGGACTCTGGCCCAGAGCTAGGGCACAGAAGCAGCAGCACTTTAGTCTCTGTGAAGGGGCCTGGCCAGAGTTAGACAGAACCTCAGACTTCACAGGGGTCCAGGATACTGGGCAGGTTTCCAGTTCAGGAACTTGGAAACAGTTTAATAGCAATAAAAAAATGACATATTTTCTCCTTCTATGTTCTGGAACAGAAATTTGAGAATCACTGTCTTAAAGGATGAGTTCAGTGAGGTTAGCCTGGTGAAAGGAGATGAGAGCATTCTAGGAAGAGGAGGGTGTGAGCCTAAGGGTAGAGGACACAAAGTAGCATGATGGGTATAAGGGGTTATAGGTAGTTCACTGTGGTTATAATAAAATGTTTGAGTCAGAAAAGTGGCAAGAGTTAATGCCAGAAGGGTTAGCAGTTGTTGGCTGTATACGGAGGGCTTGGAGTGCCAGGCTAAGCTCCTTGTAGGCCGTGGGCAGCCACTGGAGATTTTTTTGTTGTTGTTAACAGCTTTATTGGGGTCTAATTCACATACCATACAACTCACCCATTTAAAGCCTACAATTTAATGGTTTTTAGTATATTCACAGAGTTGTGCAACCATCACCACAATTGGTGCTTTTAAAACATTTTCATTACTACAAAAACAAACTCCTTACTCTTTAGCCATTCCACCCTCCCCCCACCCCAACCTCCCAGCCCTAGGCAAACACTATCTACTTTCTTTCTGTCTCTATAAAAAACCTGTTGCCTTCGAGTGGATTCTGACTCATAGCGACCCTATAGGACAGGGTAGAACTGCCCCATAGGGTTTCCAAGGAGCGGCTGGTGGATTCGAACTGCCAGACCTTTTGGTTAGCAACCGTGCTCTTAACCACTGCACCACCAGGGCGCCTTCTGTCTATAGATTTACCTGTTCTGGACATTTAATATAAATGGAATCATATAATATGTGACCTTTTCTGACTGGCTTCTTTCACTTAACGTTTTCAAGGGCCATCCATGTTGTAGCATGTATCAGTACTTCATTCCATTTTATGGTTGAATAACATTCCAGTGTATGCGATATACCACAATTTGTTTATCCATTCATCAGTTGATGGACATTTGGTTAGTTTCTCCTTTTGGCTAATGTGAATAATACCCCTAGGAACATTTGTGTACAAGTATTTGTGTGGGCATATATTTTCATTTCCCTTGGGTATATACCTAGGAGTTGAAGTCCTGGGTCATATGGTAATTTCTATGTTTAATCTTGTAAGGAACTGCCAGACTGTTTTCCAAAGTGGCTGTACCATTTTACATTTGGACCAGCAGTGTATGAGAGTTCTGATTTCTCCACATCATCACAAACACTTATCTGACTTTTTGATTATAGCCTTCCTAGCAGGTGTGAAGTGGTATCTCATTGTGGTTTTGATTTGCATTTCCTTGATGATTAACGATGTTGAGCATCTTTTCATGTGCTTATTGGCCATTTGTATATCTTCTTTGGAAAACTGTCTATTCAAGTCTGTTGTCCATTTTTTAATTTTTTTTCGTTGTTGAGTTGTAGTTTTTAAATATATTATGGATATAAAACCTATATCAGATGTATGATTTCCAAATATTTTTCCCATTCTGTATATTGTCTTTTCATATTCTTGATAATGTTCTCTGGTGCACAAAAGTTTTTAATTTTGATGAAGTCCAATTTTTCTATTTTTTTTCTTTGATTGCTTGTGCTTTTGGCATCATATCTAAGAAACCATTGCCAAATCCAAGTTCATGCAGGTTTATGTCTGTTTTCTTGTAAGAGTTTTATAGTTTCAGCTCTTACATTTAGGTCTTTGATTCTGGTAAGAATATAATAAAATATTATAATAAAAACATAATAAAAACATCTGCCCATTCCACAAATTTTACATTTATAATTCAGTGACAATGTCATTCTTTTGCATGTGGATATCCAGTTGAAAAGAGTATTCTTTTCCCCACTGAACTGTTTTGGCACCCTTGTCAAAAATTAATTGACTGTAAACCACTATAGAATTTTAAGCAGAGGTGTGACATAATTACTTTTATAATTATTTTAAGACAATATCACTGGCTACTATGTAGAGAATGTATTGGAGGAGGCCAAGAGAGGAGGCAGGGAGACTACTGAGTAGGGAGTTGCAATTATCCAGGCCTGAGATGATGGTAACTTGGACCACAGTGGTAGCAGTGGAGATGGAGAGGAGACAGTTAGGTTATACTTGGGAAATAAAATTAGTAGGACTTGGTGACTACCTAATTGCATATGTGTGTGTGTGTGTGTGTGTGGGTGTGTGTGGGTGGGTGTGTGTGTGTGGGTGGGTGGGGTAGTAAAAAGAGGGGAAGGGTCAAAGATGACTTAGGTTTTGGGGTTTGGGTCAAGAATGATCTTCAGATTTCTAGATTGGGTAGTTACGTGGATAGTTGTGTCATTTACTACCACACAGATTGAGAAGCAACTTTTTTGGGAGGAGGTTAATGAATTTAGTTTGGAATGAATTTGAGATTAAATACGAGATTTTCAAGCAGAGATGTCCAGTAGGCAGTTGGGATATGGGTCTAGACTAGAGCTTGGGCAAGAGCCCTGGGGTGGAGATAATGACTTGGGAGTCATTAGCACATAGTGGGAGTAGAAGCTCTGGGAGAGCCCAAGGACGAGTATAAAGAGTGAGAAGATGGCCTAGGACTGAGCCCTTTGGGAGGAAGAATAGGAGTCCAAAAAGGGAAAGAGAAGAAACGGCCCTTGATGTGGGAGGAAAAATAGAAGGGTCTATAGGAATCCAGTGGAAGGAGGGAATTTTAAGGAGGGAGTGATCAGTAGTGTCACTTCCATCACAGAGGTCCAGAAAAATAAGGTCTGAGAAGTGCCCACGTATCTTTCCTGTTTCCATGCCCACACATATAGGTTTGTTTTATAAATAACATCACTCCATACTTCTTATGGATGGCAATTTTAAAAAATACTGTAGAATCAATAACCTTTGCACATTATTTTCCATAACTGGTGCCTGAAGGTGTTGCTGGCAGTGTCTGTTGGATATTTGTTGGTGTCTTAGGTGAGGCCAGCTTTCATTGGCATCTTCTGTGCTAATCTTTCCTATCCTGAATTGAGGATATTAAAAGCTAAACTGTAGTTTGGATTCCAAAATGAACTCTAAATGTTCTTAGGGTGAATGTTTGATCTGTTTTCTTTCTTTCTAATCTTCTGTATTTTAAAAAAACCTTTTTACAGGTATGTGAAACAGGCCAAAGAAGCCACTAAGAATGGAGATCTGGAAGAAGCACTTAAACTTTTCAATTTGGCAAAGGACATTTTTCCCAATGCAAAGGTGCTGAGCAGAATCAGAAAAATACAGGAAGCCTTGGAGGAGTTGGCAGAACATGGAGATGATGAATTCACAGATGTGTGCAACTGTGGCCTGCTGCTTTATCGAGAACTGCACAACCAACTATTTGAGCACCAGAAGGAAGGTGTAGCTTTCCTTTATAGCCTGTATAGGGATGGAAAAAAAGGTGGTATTTTGGCAGATGATATGGGATTAGGGAAGACTGTTCAAATTATTGCTTTCCTTTCTGGTATGTTTGATGCTGCACTTGTGAATCATGTACTGCTGATCATGCCAACTAGTCTTATTAGCACGTGGGTAAAAGAATTTGTCAAGTGGACTCCAGGAATGAGAGTCAAAGCCTTTCATGGACCTAGCAAGGATGAACGTACCAGAAACCTCAATCGGATTCAACAAAGGAATGGTGTCATTATCACCACATACCAAATGTTAATCAATAATTGGCAGCAGCTTTCAAGCTTGAATGGCCAAGAGTTCGTGTGGGACTATGTTATCCTTGATGAAGCACATAAAATAAAAACCTCATCCACCAAGTCAGCAATATGTGCTCGTGCTATCCCTGCAAAGAATCGCATCCTCCTCACAGGAACGCCAATCCAGAATAATTTACAAGAATTGTGGTCCTTGTTTGATTTTGCTTGTCAAGGGTCCCTACTAGGGACATTAAAAACTTTTAAAATGGAGTATGAAAATCCTATTACTAAAGCAAGAGAGAAGGATGCTACCCCGGGGGAAAAAGCCTTGGGATTTAAAATATCTGAAAACTTAATGGCAATCATAAAACCCTATTTTCTCAGGAGGACTAAAGAAGAGGTACAGAAGAAAAAGTCAAGCAACCCAGAGATCAGACTTAGTGAAAATAATCCAGATGTTGATGCCATTTGTGAAATGCCTTCCCTTTCCAGGAAAAATGACTTAATTATTTGGATACGTCTTGTACCGTTACAAGAAGAAATATACAGGAAATTTGTATCTCTAGATCATATCAAGGAGTTGTTAATGGAGACACGCTCACCTTTGGCTGAGCTAGGTGTCTTAAAGAAGTTGTGTGATCATCCTAGGTTGCTGTCTGCACGGGCTTGTTGTTTACTCAATCTAAGGGGTCCCAAATTCTCTTCTCAAAATGAAAATGAGGGAGAAGAGTCTTCAGATGTGGCCCATATTGATCAAGTAACTGATGATACAGTGATAAAAGAATCTGGAAAAATGATCTTCCTAATGGACCTACTTAAGAGACTGCGGGATGAAGGGCATCAAACTCTGGTCTTTTCTCAATCAAGACAAATTCTAAACTTCATTGAACATGTCTTAAAGAATAGACACTTTAAGACACTGCGAATTGATGGAACAATTACTCATCTTTTGGAACGAGAAAAAAGAATTAATTTATTCCAGCAAAATAAAAAGTACTCTGTTTTTCTGCTTACCACTCAAGTTGGTGGTGTTGGTTTAACATTAACTGCAGCAACTCGAGTGGTCATTTTTGACCCTAGCTGGAACCCTGCAACTGATGCTCAAGCTGTGGATAGGGTTTACCGAATTGGACAAAAAGAAAATGTTGTGGTTTATAGGCTAATCACTTGTGGGACTGTAGAGGAAAAAATATATAGAAGACAAATTTTCAAGGACTCATTAAGAAGACAAACTACTGGTGATAAGAAGAACCCTTTCAGATATTTCACTAAACAAGAATTAAGAGAGCTCTTTACAATAGAAGATTTTCAGAACTCTGCAACCCAGCAGCAGCTTCAGTCTTTGCATGCTGCTCAGAGAAGATCTGATAAGAAACTGGACGAACATATTGCCTACCTGCACTCTTTGGGAATAGCTGGAATCTCAGACCATGATTTGATATACACACATGATCTAGCTGTCAAAGAAGAGCTTGATGTGACAGAAGAATCTCAGTATATTCAACAAAGGGTTCAAAAAGCTCAATTCCTAGTTGAATTAGAGTCTCAAAATACAGAGCTCCTGATGGAAAGACAAAGAACAGTAAATGAAGGGGCCTGGCCTAGAGAACCTGTGTTTCCTTCTCAAACAAAGAAGAAATGCCCTGAATTAAATAAACCACAGTTTCGGCCTTCAGCTCTTATAACTACTCATCATACCCAGGAAGAAGATATCAGTTTCCAAATGGCAAGTGTAATCATCGATGATCTGGCTGAAGACAGCGAGAAACAAGATCTCTCCAGTATAAAGATGAACACTTCTGTCCTTCAAGATGGTAGGCACACATATGAAAATAACTTTGATGCCGAGTTTGCGGCGACTTTACCCAGAGGGTATGGAGGTGTAGAAGAAATTTGCACTGATTCTTTATTGGAAATGACAAAAAGCTTTACAACTGACAATGAGGCTCTACAAAAGGAGGCATTGCAAGAGAACCCTCAGGGAAGTTTTAACTATTTACTTAACAAATCAATCAAAACTGATCTTGGGCCAAATCTAGATCAACTAAAGGATGATGAAATTCTACATCACTGCAATCTATGGCCCATTAATCATACAATAAATAAAAATACAGAATTGAATACATCCATTATTGAAATAACTGATGATTTGTCAGCATCCCATAGTGCTCTGCAGGATGCTCAAGCAAATGAGGCCAAGTCGGAAGAGGAACCTTTAGCATCTTCACCACAGTATGCCCAGTCAG